TGGTTCTTCCACCCGGGGGTACTCCGACGATCAAGTCAGTATATCTCTCAAAGATAATCAAGTACTAAACTGAATACTCAAAGTATAAATTGCATACCTTAGACCCACGGGGGTGCCTCTCTTTTATAATATACTCAATCCAAGTCCCACTAGAAGTATGACTTCTATGAACTCTAGTTCACTGCTTACTCTAGACTCTTTTAAGTGATAAAGATAAACTCCTTGAGAGTTTTATCCTTATCTTGGTTCAGTCCCCTTTGTGCCTTAGGACTCTTGCCCCTTATCTCGGATTCCGATATCTTCGGAGATGACCTCGGCTTCTCCGAGATTACCTCGGCTTAACTACCAAGGCACGTGGCACCTCGGCTGACACGTCGGCGTCACCATGCCACGTGTTGGTATTCAGAAAATATATCCCCACAATTAGGGAGAATTACAAATCAATAAATTTTTTTAAAAATTATTTTTAAATAGATGAAAAGTTTAAATTTTAAATTTTTAATATTTATAAAATTTACCATTGATAATTTAATTTATTTATAAATTTAAACTGAACAATAATGTTTCCTTTAACTAATAATAAATAAATAGATAAAAGGACCATCAATCGACACTGAATGCCCAACATATGAAAGTTAGCCCAGCTGGACCTTTAAGGGTTAACGGGTGTAAACGCTGTCGTCTAATAAAACCTTACGTGGGTCTCCGCGTGGCTGATGCAATCTCATACTCATCTCTCTTTTCTTTTTAAATTAGGCGTATTTTGACGATTAAGAAAAAAATTAATTTATTAATTTATTGACTTATTTAGATTAGAAAATTTTATTAGAATTTTTGTTTTTTTGAGTATTTGTATCTCAATTAGTTCATAAAATATTCTTATATTCTAACAAGTCCTATTATTTGAACATTTGATCTACCAAATCTTAATTCTCAAATTTAAAGTATTTTATAGCTATTTTTACCTTTATAAATATTTTTTGAACGGTTAGTAATTTGATGATGTAAATATTCGTATTTTACAATGTGAACATTCACATTGATGGTGTGAATATTCATATCACAGAACATTCATACTGTAAATGTGAATATTATTAGGGATATTTTGATAAGGAAAATTTACCCATAAGTCCTAGTTTTTGAAACGTTTAACCATTTAGTCCTAAAAGTTTTCTTATGCTCCATTTAGTCCCATTTTTACATCAACATGATGTGAATGATGTAAATGATCTGATGTTTCATTCTATAATTTCAAAATTTATTGAAATCTGATGAACATTAGATGTTTTTCATCCTATATTTTTAAACATTATTGAAATTTGATGAACATTAGATGTTTGAAATCCAATGTTTGCAACATGACTCTGATGTTATTAACATTGTATCTGATGTTATTAACATTGTAATGGGACCTTTCAGTCTATAAGAAAACTTTTAGGACTAAACAGTGCATAAGTTATTAATTTGGGATTTATTAGTGCATCCCCCTTTTGATAATTATGTCACTCATAAGATTTATTGGAAATAATGTGGACTAAATATTACCTTTTTTAAAAAAATAAAAATTAACTTTTTTTTCTACTTTTCAAAAGTACGAAAAGTTGTTTGGTTTGGTTTTTTTCAAAAGATGTTTTGGAAAATTATTTTGAGAGAGAGTTTTGGAAAAAATGATTGATTTGATGTGTGTGAGAGAGAGATTTGTTTGGAAAACTTGTTTGGTTTACAAGTTTTGAGAAAATTTTTTAGGAAAATTTGTTTGGTTTGATTACTTTTAAAAACTTATTTGTAAAGAAAATTTCTCAAAAATTTTTCAGAAATACAAACCAAACAAACCCATAGTTTTACATTTTTTATTAATTAATATAACACCTATAATATTATTATTAGTAAATATCATCTTAAGTTTAATTGTTGTCTGGCACACACAGTTAGTAAAACATATTGTACAAACTATTTCTTTAGTTTTTTTTTTTTTTCCTTCAAATTTTATATACTCTAAAATTTATTTTAAAACCAAGTGTTAGAATCCTTGCTTATTAATTAGTTAATAATTCAAATAATGTCAATGACCAAACTCTCCTCTTAACCTCCAATGTATCAAATTTTATTTCACAAAGAACAATGCTTAGTTTAATTTTTGAAAACTATTTTAAAGCTTTTTTTATAGTGTTTTTTTTTTTGTCTATATTATAATTATATATATTATTTTTTAGATGTACTTAAATTAAGATACACTTAAAATGTAAAAATTTTGTGAAGAAATCTAAAAAACAAATTTCTAAATACAAAAGATATGAAAGTGTACTAAGTTATTCGTATTATTTTGTATTTAATGAATTTATTTTTAGATTTGTTCACAAATACTTTACTTATTAAGTTAATATAGATTAAGTAAATCTAAAATGCAATTTTTTAACTAAAATATAAAAAAATTACTAAAAGTAAATAATATGAAAAACAAAAACTTGAAAACAATTTTTGAGTTTCAAAATCAAACAGCATAGTTTGGCAACAAGCCAAATGAGCAATTTACTGACTTTTTTATATCACATTACTTTTTTTTATTTTTTTTAAATATCCTTTCATAAGAGATTAAAAAATTAAAAAACAAGTCATACTCAAACCACCAAAACTGCCTCAATTTTTTTTGGTAGAAGCCATGTTTGAAGGGAGAATTTTTACACCCTACTAAAAGATAGCAGATTTAATTTTTGACTGACAAAAATCTCCTCCAAACTTCTCAGTTACCAAATTTTATTTGGAAAAATTATTTATAAGTCCTATTAGAGAGACTTATACTACATATGGTCCTACTAAAAAACTTATGGTCCCATAAGTTATGTATGAAATTTGTTGACACATTTACCCTCAACATTAGTTGTTAATATCATAAATAATGGTAAAACCATATATAGGAAATTAAATATTACCATAGATTAAGTTTGTGAAATGTAACGTGACACCTACATAAACGTAACATAACGTGACCATATCAGATGAGACATTACATAAACGTAACGTGACGTGACACCTATATAAACGTAACGTGACGTAACACATATATAGACGTAACGTAACGTGACTCATATATAAACGTAACGTAACGTAATGTAACGTGTCACGTTACGTTTAACGTAACGTAATATGACACCAACATAAACGTAACGTAACGTGACACCTACATAAACGTAACGTAACGTGTCACGTTACGTTTCGCAAACTTGCTAGGTTTTTGATTTGTTAAATTGAATGTGAAAATGTTACTTATTCATGTATTTTGAAATTCACATTCATAAAGATATGATTTATGGTAACATTCAATTTCCTATATATAGTTTTGCCATTATAGTGTATAATATTATATTAATACCATTTATTTACAACTCATAGGATCTTGCAAAATACATTCCTATCTAAATAGGACTTAAAACTCTATAAGAAATTACACAGGACTTAACATAGCATAAGTGTCCGAAATATGACTTATAAATAAGTCTCCCATTTTATTTCAAAAAATATTTCTTTTTTTGTTTTTGTTTTTTTAGGAATTTAATAAGAAATTCTTTTTTTAACTATTGTCATTTCAATTTTCCTAACATATTATTATATTATAATGTAATTTGGATGTTTAATCTGTCAAATCTTAGTTATTATATTTAATATATTTTATGGATAATTTTGTCTTTACAAATATTTTTTGAACACTTTAATAATTTAGTGATATGAACATCCATCTTTTACATTGTGAATGTTCACATCTAGAAACATCCATACTATCAATATAAATATTATTATTAGAGATATTTTAATAACTATATCACTGGTAAAATTTATTAAAATATAAAAAAAATCATTTAAATAAAATAAAAAAAATATTATATATATATAAATAGATAGATAGATAAAAATAGATTTATAAATAAGAGCTATTTTGAAAAGTGAGTTAAAAATCACTCTCCAACTTTTAATCGACCTCCCTCTCTCACAAAAAAATTAAAAAAAAATAAAAAAAAATAATTTTTAACCATCTTCTCAAAATAATCTTAAATGTCCCATTTGAATTAAGGAAAATATCTCGTAACTCAAATTTTGTGGCTCAAAAGTGGTTCAAATGGCCAAAACGACGTCGTTTTGGTCATTTTTATGTTGTTCTGTACTCAAAATGATATCGTTTTGGCCATTTAAATCACTTTTAAGCCACAAAATTTGAACTACTTAGCATTATCGTTGAATTAATTACCCATGCTTTGCTAGCGCCATGTGAGCTGCCTATGAAGGATGTGATCACTCCAACAATTCCACACCCCCACACACATAACAAGATTTGGCAGTATAGTACCTCCCTCCCCATCCCCAATTCCTTAAATTCCTCTCTGTCTTTTGCTTTTCATTTCTTTTGTTTTGTTGTACCATTTAGCAGCTTGTTTATTTATTTGTTATAAATTATTACATCATTATTTTTTTTTAAATTCAAAAGATCACTGAATAAATAAGTTCAAAATCAACTCTTAAAATAAGTATGAAAAATAAAAATATACAGAGAAGAAAAATAAATATGGAAAAAATATAAAAAAATAATAATAATAATTTAAAGTCAGACCCTTAAAACAAAATAAATTTTTTATTTTTTATTTTATCAATTTAAACTCTAAAAATTTTGTTTTTTTAATTTAAATTATTTTCTTATTTTTATTAAGTAAATTGATTAAAAAAATTGAATACTTTAGTCATTAAACATAAAAAAAATTGAATATTTTAGATATTTTATACACACTTATCTTGAATTTAATGATTAAAATATTATTTTTCGTTAATTTTACTTAATGAAAATAAATTAAAGGGAAAATCGGTTTAAGGTCCCTATCCAACTTTTAGTAATGGATTAGGTCCACAATGTGTTCAAGATCAAGAAGATTTTTTTGTAATTTCACAAAGAAACCTCTTATTTTGGGTAGTTGAAATCTTGGGCTTAAAAGCCAAGTTCACTGTTGTCCACACGGTGAATTTCCACAAAGTTTCCTTTTCTCTTGCAGCGTATGTTTTAGGCAACAAAAGCCCTTTATCTGGAGGACTCATGACTTTTGGGTCTCTCCGTAGTGTGATGTAGAGAAGTGGGTTATTCTGGGTTGTGTGATTTTTCTATCAAACGAGTGTTAGATCATTGGAAGAATTTAGGGGGTGGGTCTTTCTGGGTTTTGTGATTTTTCTATTCAATTCGAATCTTTTAGCCATTTTCTTTTTACTTTGAAGTGGGTTCAAGAAAGAGGGTCCTCTTGGATTTTCTCGGAAAATTGGGTATCATAGCAGTTTCTCTCGAAACAAACCTTCAGTTCTCTGTTTCTATGGTTCTTCTGATTCTTGGAGCTTTAGGTCTCTGTTTTTCATAACAGACAATGAGATTGATCATGACTTGTTTGTTTGATTGTCTCTTTGAGTTTTAGTCTAGTGTTGATTGCTGATATAAATTGAGGGTTTTTTGAGATTCTTTAGCAGATTTGAACCAAGATTATTGTTTTTTTTTTGGATGAGATTTTCTAGGCTAAGATGGCCTCTTTCAGTGGATTAGGTATTGGTTTGAGTTTTGTATTTGGGTGCATCCTCTTTGCCCTTGTCGGAGAGCTTTACTATTTGTTGTGGTGGAAGAGAAGACCCACCAACAGAAGAGGGATTGCAGATCATCATTACACCCACCATGCCAAAGAGCTTTCCTATCTCTTGTTTTTCTGGAAGAAACCCAGTTGTTTGGGCACTAGGAAATCTGATCAACAAGTCACCAATTCAGTGACAGACCCAGATGCCAACAATGGGCATGAACCAGACCTTGAGTTGGGTTCAACCAAGGACTTGCTGAGGAAAGGCTTTGGCGAGGAAACTGTGGAGTCAGAGCTCATGAGGCTGCACAATCTCTGCGGCCCACCAAGGTTTCTCTTCACAATCAAGGAAGAAACAAAGGAAGATTTGGAGGCTGATGATGTGAAATCAAGAGGGGATAGAAGCAGAAAAGGGTCTAGAAATAAAAGCCTGAGTGACCTTCTTGTTGCTGTTGAGACCCCAATTCTCACCCCCTTGGCTTCACCAACATTGAAGCCTCATAACCACCGCTTGGATTCTTATAATCAACATGGGTTCAACTTCAATCCTCTCTTTGAATCATCAACAGAGGTGGAGATGAACTGGTGGAGATCTTCACCCCCTCCAAAGTTCAAGTTCTTGAGGGATGCTGAAGACAAACTTATGAGAAGATTGACGGAAGAAGCAGAAAAAAGGTCCTTTAAAGTCCAAGAATCTGTGGCTACAGAAGAGAGAGATGGTTCTTTTATTAGAATCATTGTTGGGGGGAAGAACAGAGAAAGAGAGCTCAATCAACAAGTTCCACAGTCCCATTCAAATACTTCACAGGTACTTCCACTGGCTTCATCCCCTTCAACAACATTCAGATCACTTGATAACAACAAACCCATACAGCAATAGATCTTCATGAACCAACATGAATGGGTTTTGTATTTTTTTTTCCTTTTTTTATTTTTGTTGTTTATTGGAATTTACAGGTTCATTACATCTATGTATTTATTCTAAATTCCTAATGGAGAATAGAGGTTTGTTTGTAGGCTTTTGATCTCTCTTAGTTCTTTGGTTGTTGGGTAAAATATAGCGATGTCGTAATCAGCAACATCTATGGGCAAAGTACCTTGAGTTTTCAAGGCAAAACAAATTAACCTTCTTTTGCAAATTGATGATGTTTCTTAATTCTAGTAGACTTGTTTGGGTATTCAGTTTTTTTCATTCAAAACTAGAAATTGCTTGTCCTGAGGATGGTGCTTCCATTAATGTCAAAAGGGTAATGTAACTCTTCATTTGAGATAATGCCATATGTTTACATTCTTCCTAGGTTCATGTCATCAGAGTTAGCAATGCATGTTTTTAAAAGATATATATATATATATATACACATACATATGAAATAGCATTGAGAATTAAATTTTGAATATTTTTCTAGACTACTATGGAGAAAGCTTTTTCTTTTATCTTTTTCTTCAAAAGAAATTCATTCGAAATAAATAATTTGACAGTGATAATTTTATAATTAATAATCATCCTAATAAATTATTATTTTAAAGTAATAATTTCATAATTTATTTATATTTTATTTTTTTAATATTTACCTTTTAAGAAAGTACAATTTTATTGCCTCTCCTGGCACTGTTCCCATACTATTATGACAAGTGCAAAGTCCCCAAAAAGATTGTGAATGTTTTTTAAATTAATTTGAATCATGAAGTTATGTTTTATACATACCCTTTAATTAATATTAATAATTTTATATATTTACCCTTTTAATTAATAACAAAAACTTAAATGTGACATAATTTCACCAAATTTAACATTGCTCTTATAATTAAATTATAATAAAGTATAGATATCTTGACCTTCTGATTCATGTTGCTTGGGAGCTTTTGGACGTTTTATGCTTAAAATACATTTACATAATACATATATAGTCTTATTATGCTTCCACCATGAAGTGGGTTGGTAAGCACTACATGATCAATGTGTAAAAAACATATCAAACCTTTTATTTGCTCATATTTGACCACAAATCATGCACAGCTGATTCTCTCTTCTTATTTTTTGTTTGTGTGAAAACTTCTCTTCAAAAGTAGATAGAGCAAAATGCACACATGAAGTTCAAACAATAAAAAAGCAAAACAAAACAAAGTGCAGATATGAGTTTAATGGTTACGAGATTTTCTGTCCCCATTCTCATTTGTCTCTATGTTCCGAGCTAATTTTTCTCGCATTGTGTGATTGTTGGCTGTTTTTTGGCTTTTAAGATTAAAAATATAATTTGAACATATCAGTAAGGACCAATAAATTCTTACAGAAATAATAAATATCAATCAATTAATCAGATAATTGTTTTGAAATTCTCTTAGTCTCAATGAAGATAACTTTTACTAGTAGCTTATTTTATGAGAAAATTTAGAACTAATCACAATAGTAAAAGAAGAAGAGAGAGAACAGTATTAGAAAATAAATTTCATTAAGTAAACAACTGTTTACAATTGTACTTTTGCATTTCCACAACTTCGAAGGGAATTATAGTTTTGAACAGACTAACCTAAAACTACTCCTAAGGATTTGAAATGCACTGCAGAAAGTAAATGACTAGAAGATAAAGAATTGGAAAGTAAAAAACTAAGAAAAATGTAAAGTAAAATAGACTGATTTCTGAATCTGGTTCTAGATCCTGTAAATGTAGCTATCAATGGCTATTTATAGGGAAAAAACTTCCCGCAATAACTATCCAATAACTATATAAAACTACCCATTCTTCCACCTTCATTCCTATAATGCCATGTATCCCTCTATGTCTTCTACTAAGTCACTTTGTACATCATATTCTTCACATGTGCTTTAACTTCTTCCACATTGTCTTCTATGTTCCACCATGCAAGATCACTAATTTTGTAACTTCTCTTAACTCCTGATTGATTAAGAAAGTGTCACATATTCTGCAATAATAGTAATAATAATAATAATATTACTATTTATGGTGTTAACAATGACAGATACGTAATTTTAGAACCAAAAAATAAATAAATAAATAAAAAGGGAGGGACGGGGATAGACAATTCGATTTTAGACCAATTTTTTTATGAAAAATGATTAAGGCCTCGATTTTATTTTTTTTTTTTTGGCTGCATGGGTGGTTATGTGTAAGGGTGTACTAAAAAATTAGACATCTCGCACCAACTCAGCCTGTGTGGTTTGATAAGGTGAGTGAATTGGAATGGACTGGTTTGGTGATAAAATTAACTGATCAGTTAGGCTGCTAGTTAAAATTTGTTACTTTTATACCGTTTTGTACGAGTCCTTACTATATTTTTATCTGATTAGTTAGCTTGCTCGTTAAAATTTATTAATTCCATATAATTTTATACGAGTCCTTACTATATTTTTATCACCCAACCAGTCTAACCCAACTTACTTACCTTATCAAACCACACAGGCTAAATTGATACAAGTTATCTCTTTTTTTTAGTACACCCTTACACATAACCATCCCCCCCCCCCCCCAAAAAAAAAACCAAACCAAACCAAACCAAACCAACATAGTAAAATAAATAAATAAATAAATAACATGAAATTTCAAAACCTCTAACAGGACTGTGGCCTTGTTTGATTTGTGTTTCTCAAAAAATTTTGAAAAAAACTCTCTACAAATAAGTTTTCAAAAGTAATTAAACCAAATAAATTTTTTCAAAAAAATTTTCCAAAACTTATTTGGTTTACAAATTTTTCAAACAAATCTCTCTCTCATACACATCAAATCAATCACTTTTTCCAAAACTCTCTCTTAAAATAATTTTTCAAAACCTCTTTTGAAAAAAAATCAAACCAAACAAATATTCGTACTTTTTATCTCAAAGTATATTTCTCACATACAAACTAAACAAGGCTTCCTTTACTTGATAAAAGATGTCAGATGTGTACTTTTTTTCTTTTGGTTATTTTATTTTAATTTTTTGCTACCCTTTGTCCATTTCTCAATTTATTCATTCTTATATTGCAAAAATCGCAGATGATTCAATTACTGTGAGTAAATTAAAACAAGCACAAACGATTGTTGTTATTTTCACAAGTTCTAAAGTAATTTTATTTGACAATATTGATAACTTTTAAATTAAGTATAATATTTGAGTTAAGCAATTGATAACTTTTAAACTAAGTATTGTATTTGAAATGGAGAAGCATAGAGGAAGAAGTCATATTCAAAACCTAGAGAAGTGACAAAGTTGAGGAGACTGATGTGGGTATGGATTGTGAGGTTCTCTGAGCTTTTTAACCTGAAAAAAACAAGCAAAGACATGTCGTTTGTAATCACGCGACCTTGGCATAAAGTTGCTCACAGTTTAACATTCTTTCAAAAAAAGAAATTAAATTTAAATCTAGAATGAAAATTTTGAAAATATCCATTGTTTATAATTTCATGCAAATATTTTTTAAAAAATTATGAAAACAATTTACAGGTATTTCTTAAAAAGGGAGTGTTTTTAGGAGGGAAAAAAATCAAAAATAATTTGTCAAAATAATTTTTTTGTATCAATTTATGTTTTCACTTTTTATTTATTTATTTATTTTTTTAAAAGTAGAAATCGTAATCAACTACATAAAATATAAGTGTAGTACTAATGTTGGGCGCATATCCAGTTATCAACTGAAATGACTTTTTAAAAATAAAAGAAATGCTATTCACTTTGCTTGTTTTTGATTTTTTAAAAATATTTTTCAGAAAATTTTCTTTTCTTATTTTTCGTATTTTTTTTTGTTTTTACTGATTCTTTTTAATATTTTAAGCAATTTTTAAAATTTTTAGACACGCCTGACATAAATACACATAAAAAATATAATTTTTGTGAAAAAATCTTTTAAAAATTCACTAAATACCAAAAATACAAAAAAAAATGAGAATTCAATATATTTTTTGTATTTTTATGTATTTATTAATTTTTTAAAATATTTTTTCATAAATTTTTTACTTTTTAAATACATCTAAGTAAGGTGCATTTAAAAAAGTAAAAAAATGCTTAAAATTTTAAAAATATTCACTAAAAATAAAAAAAAATACGAAAAATAGAAAACTCAAATTTAAAAAAAAAAATCAAAAAATTGGAACCAAACACACGTATTGTTATCGCATATTTGACTTAAACTTTACTTATATCACCTTACAAGTAATTACTTTAAACCAAATTAACCACTTCAAACATTGGCATATATTTCTCTTTATTTTTATATTTTATTTTTAAATAAATTTCGAAATTAACTGGATCGAATTCTCAATAAGAAGAAGAATATATAAGGGAGTTTTGTCACAACCCAAAAAGATAATAATAATAATGTTAGTTTGGCTTGTACACAACAGGTCATAAATTTCAAATTTAAATGCAGCAAGTTGTGAGTGAGGTGAGGGGACATAGAGTCGTTATTATGTTGGGTATATAGCAATCACTGTTGTATAGTTAAATGAGTTCATTTTGAGATTTATTTCGATAATTTAAATCGTTCACATTTTAGAATATATCAAGTAGAACATATCTATAAAAAATCAAATTAATCGTATATCGTTAATCCTTTCATTCACTCACATTTGTATCTAAAATAAATAATAATTGTGATTTAATGCAAATATGAGTGGATGAATAGGAAACGATTAATCTAATTTTTTATAAATATATTTTACTTGATGTATTTTAAAATATAAACAATCGAAATTATCAAAATAAACTCTAAAATGAATTTATTTTACTGTATAACAGTAACTGCTGTGTCCTGCACAACAGCCCCCTAAATTCGAGGTGAGGGTCAGAACAAGTCTGTGGACCCCTTCCTCTATTTACCATCTATACAATCAGTTAAGAGTCTTAATAGGATGGGCTCTACACATCCGCCCATCCAAGGACCACTTACTATGCTCTTCTCTACCCTCACATGAACACATGTTCTCTTTCCCTCCTTTGTCTCTCCTCTCTCACAAGACTTGATCCTCTCCAACTTTAATCATTCACCTAAATACAATTAAAAAACATTAAGAATACATATAGCTTATGAAAAACTCTATGACTCGAATATTGGGCATAAAAGTGCAGTTGAGATTTGATTGTGGCGGTGTTTGGTAACAATTTTTTTGAGTTTTTTTTTTATATTTTTTTCACTAAAAGACAAAAT